AGAAAAACGAAGAGGAGGGAAGGCTCCTCTCCTCGCTCTCGGCAGGCATTCCAAAACAAAGAGCCCGCGATGCTGGTTCACCGGTGGACAATATGTAAATCAGTGGCTGGCCGTGGTCACGATGTCGCGACCTCGTCGTCCCGCTACGAGACTACGTTCTTAAACCTTCGCCACCGCCGCTAAACCGCCTCTTCTTCTCTCCTCCTCGCCTCGCGCCGGAGGAGGACCACTTCCCATAAGGGCCTGAAAGATCTGTAACGATCCGTAATGGCACGACACACGCTGCCTTTTCTCTCCTTCGCGAAACGACCTGACGGTTACGTCATCCGTCTTCTTTTCCTTTCTTTCGCGTAACTGTAATTTCCATTCCACGCGATAATTGTATTACGAATATATATATATTCGTTGCACCGGTAAAGAACCGGTGAGTAATTAGAAAATTAACCGACGACGAAGAAAACGATAAAGCTTGTCGCGTAAATCGGAGAAACGAAAATTATTCGGTTGGAAGCAATCGTTCAACGTCGATGCAGGCGGTTGGTTATTTAGAGGCAACAGGTTGCGCGCGGAGATGAAGATCGTTATGGAAATCCAGCATGGATACAGAAAGGATGACGCACGCATCGGTGAGATGAGTTCGGTTCCCATGCATTTTGCGAGGACGACGATCAACCGTATATACCAGTTCCACACCCAACTTCTCCACCGCTCTCTCCTATCTACGGCAATTAGTCGTTAAAAGTGTTCGTGTGTTTCACCGGTTATCGCCCGTCCCACCCACGCGCCCCAATCGTCCACGCCGCGTTATCTCGCGACAAAATGCATCTCGTTGGCCCGCCGCAGCTGGCCGACGACAATCGTGCGCCTCGAACCACCGCAAACCGATCATCCTTCTCTCGCCGAGAACCGCCACGCGAAAAAACGCCAATCGTCCGAATTTCCATAATGCCGCCCCTCCTCTCCCCCCCACCCCACTCTTTCCCAATCTTCCTCTCCGTCCACCTTCTTTTTTCCGTCTATATACGCGCTGTCCAACCTTCTCGGAAGCGGTCTCACGGTTCCCACAAACGCCACCTCTTTTCTCTGAACCCATCTCGACATTGACCGAGAGAGAAACCGCGTCCTCCGATCCTACGCATCACTTGCTCCTATCTAGATTCGTCTCGGTAAATCGATACACCGTTTAAGCCATCTTTTCCTTTCTCTTCTTTTTCCTTCCTTCCTTCCTTTCTTTCTTTCTTTCTTTCTTTCTTTCATCCTGGAGAAGATTTTCGATTTTAGAAAATCAACGAGACACGATTTGGCATTTTTCTCCAGAAGCGATAAATCTAATAACAAAGTCGTTTCGAGTCGTTTCGAAGCGACGGAACGAAAGATAGAATATCGTTGTGTGGAAGGGGATCGGGTTTCGATCGACGACTCTGTTAACGCCATCGGAGTCTCTTTTCCTCTCCATCCAAAATCTCGCGATCTCTCTTTTCTTTTTTTTTTTTTTCTCCATCGAACTCGACCCCATATATATATATATATACAGATACGTTTAAGGAAAGTCGGATGGAGAGGAAAGGGTGGAACGGGTCCTTTTAAACGCGGAGCAATGCCATCGCGCGCGAGGCGTTCCGCCGCCACGGGTCCACTCAACTTTGGAAGCCTTTTGTCTCAACGTTATTGAAAGTTGTCTCGAGGGTCACTAGGAATGTAGCGGCAGGATGGCTTCGGGTATTCAAGGACGAGAGAGGAAGGGAGCAAAGGACGGGGAGAGGCGAAAAGAGACGATGGACGGGTAATGGAGAAGGACAGGAGGAGCGAGATAGTGGGTGATGAAGGAGAATGAGAGAGAGAGAGAGAGAGAGACTCCATCCAACAGGCCATGCGGGCGCACTGTCCTAATTACAACGAGGCCTCCTATTTTTTTCGNAAAGGAGCCGAAGTATTTGCCCGCGGCTACGGAGGCTAGACGATTCCGGACCGCTCCCAGGACTCTTCTCTCGCTTCGAAACCAAGTGCAAAAGGATCGTCGGCACTTCGCCGTCATCGAGGATCGGGCAAAACGAAAGAGACTGTAGGGTAAGAAAGAGGAGAAAAGAGAGAGAGAGAGAGAGGATTCTCCGCGGGAACGTCGCAGTTTTCCCACCCATTCATGGTACCGACCGATTTTTTTGCCCTCTTCTCACGACTCATTCATACCTCGCCGCATGAGATCCGATCGTCGATCCCTACCTGCATCATCGTCCAAGACACCGGCGAATCATCCTTTTTTCGGCTCCTTTCCGAATTCCATCTTTCCTCTCTTCGCTCTCCCACCTCCGTTAACCGGCCTTAAATACTCGTCTCCTCTCTACACGTTTCTATCTCTGTACACGTTCGACCGTGTAACGTTTCTTAGCCGCTCGATCACTTCTTTAGCCGTTCGATCGCGAAAGGGAAAGGATAAATCGAATCGGATTTCGATCGGCGCAAAACTCGGAGCGATGCGATTACACGAGATAGAAACGCGATCGTCGGGGATCGTTCTCTCCGACCAAATACGCGCAACGATACAGGAAGGAGGACTAACGATCTTAATGGCTAGGCAAAACATTGACACCTTGGCGGCGCTCGGGAAACCACCTGGGCGAGCGACAGGGAAGGGAAGACGGGGCAGGTATCGTCAAACAGACGGTCAGCACGAGTGAAGTGGAAATCCTTATGAGAAGGTAAGTTGGGAGAGCGATGACAACGAGCTAACAGCATGGGTAAACACGGCGGCTTGGGACAGAGCCGT